TTTTTCGAAGGTTGGCCTATAGGGGTAGCGTTAGCTGCTAAAAGGTACTTTCGGTACTTAGCGGTAGTACGGTCGACTCGGGCCTAATCCCTAGGTTTGTCGTATTAGCCTAGCAGATAGCTAGTGCTATCGCAATTGAAGCACTTCAATCCAGTTAGTAGACTGCCGTAGCTGTTATTGTTAGTTAAGCGGTTAGCGTTATAAGGATACGAGCCCCTTCTACGGCCCCTATCGCGGCCTCCTCTATATAGCCGGCGGCTACGGCCTCTTCTACGGTTATTGTTACTATTCCTATTATTAGTATTATTGTTATAGTAGGAACCTTAGTTTCCTCCGCGGCTACTACAATTGCCGCGGTTGGTACTAGCTAGTCGGATCCTCGATTCTAGTCGTTATTAGAGCTAAATAGCCCGTTCGGCTGTTTCTACTTCGACTATGAATTAAATGCGTGTTAGGTTGGCCTGTTCGAATACACGACGGCGGTCCAATTTAAGGACCAATTCCTATCGCAATTTAGGGCGTATTTCGGAAATCTAGATAGAGTCGGTCTTGGCTAGCAAATCGTCCTTAAGGGTCTTTAAATAGGCCTTAAATAAGCGAGCCGATTAATCAGTCTTTTGTTTGGCTCGAAGGTATTAGTCCTAAGCGTATTATTGCCTTAGTATAGGGTTTCTAAGGGTGTCTAATATAATGGTCTTATAGTCTTGCTACTAAACAGCGGTCTAATTAGTAAGGGAGTCGAAATGGTTATCCTAGGTACGTTTTAGGTCTCTATTAATGTATTGCATAGCATAGACGACTAGCGAATAGTCGTCTAGCAGGGCCCTTAGTGCATTCCGCTAGTTCAATTTACAATCACGTATATAATTATTATACTGCTTGCGGCTAGAGCTATCAAATACGGTATAGTCTTTAAGCTTAGCGTCCTTCTTTTAAATAGAAGGTACTGCTACTGGCTCTAATCTAGCAGTGGTTGTTAGGGCTTCCTATAGGCGGCGAATCTCGAGGAGATTATCCTTTAGCTATTGTTTTTAACGTAGGGTAGTAAGCCTGTTTTAGGTAGCTTCTTAGAGTCTCCCTACTAGTTAGGGGCTAAAGGCTGGTTAGCTATATCGACGGTTAACAATATTGTTAAGAATGTCGTCGATAGGCAATTCTAGGTCGTCACCTAGAACTATAGGTTCTTCGGTAGGCCTAGTAGTAGGCTCTTTAGCAGGTACCTTAGCAGGTGCTTTAGTAGGCACTTTAGTAGGTACTATGCTACTAGTATTGTTATTGCTAGCGCTGCTAGCGGCAGCACGGTTGTTGTTGCTTCGTGATAAGCCGGCTATTGTAATAGGGGGTAACACTAATAATGTATTATTAGCCCCTAAGATGCGGATGTAGCGGAATTAGTAAATATCGGTCTAGTGTGCTTGACTTAGTATAATAGGCCGTATAGAAGGCCTTGCTTAATAATTAGTACGGTTGTTTTAGTAGAATGGTACGTATAGGTCCCGTTCTTCGGGCGTAATATAGTTAAATCGATAGTTTTCGTAGCTATACCGCTAAAAGCTTAAAATAAGGACTATCTAGCTACTGCCCTTAAAGGGTAGATCGAATACTATATAAGAAGGGTTATATCAGCAGGTAGATAGGGTAGTAGTAGGTACAAGTAGTATTCGATAAGGAGCTAGGAGGAGAGGGAGGAAGGTAGGAGAGTTAGCCTAACGCTAAGCGCTAAGCCCTGCCTAAGGCACTAAGACCCTAGCTTTACTCGGCCTAGTCACATGCCAATCACGTGTAGCCTCTTTGGCCCTAACAGCTAGCCTTCGAGGACTGCTTTAAATACGGTATAAGTAAGATAAACTAGCGGATTAAGGCATAGTAGCGTTAGTAAGCACCTACACTAAATAGCTAGAGGGGCTATTTCTACGAGTTACTACGCGAGTTACTACACGATGCTAAACTACTAGCGGATCGGATTGCCTTCCTTGCAATCTATATACTAATTATACGTTATAAAGTCCTCGAATTTGTTTACCTCTAGAATAGCTATCGTATCCGGAAGTAGGCTAATCGACTATACGTTATACTAGGTATTCCGCATATTCTATACTATTATCTAGAGCTTAGCGGGCATTCTTATTAAGGTATTCCTATACCTAACGGCGCACTTAATAATATAGAGCAAGACCTTTAAGGATTCGGTATATATTAGATTCTATAGTATAGACTCGCTATAGACTCGCTAATAGACTCGCTAATTCCTAGATCTTAAAGCCTACCTACCCGAGGCTACGCTTTCTTAGTATAAGATAGCATTGTAGATTTATAGCTTCTCGTATCTAGTAAGTAGTAGCGAGAATAGCGATAATGTAGAGCGCCTTTACCGCTCTGCCTACTTGCTTCTTCGAGGGCTAGCTAGGGAGTATATAGCTATAGGGTTAGAGCCGGAACTAATAGAGTTAGATAAGCTATTAGTAGCACGTAGTTAGTTAGCGGCGGCTCGGAATTAGAAAGCTAGGTTAATTAAGTTTGCAAATAATGTATACTAATCTCCGATCTACGAGCCGGCCGCGAGTATATAGCGAGTCGCTTTTTCTAGTTCGATTTTATCTATAACCTTCTTAAACCTCTACTATTTCTACCTCTATTTATCTAATAATGCCTACTAATTAGGGCACCTATTGCACTAAATTAGGCGTCGACTATGCAAAGATATATAGTAAATACCGATACTGTTTACAATGCGGCCTTCTTAATCCCGATCTACTAAGCGAGCAATTTGTTCGCGAGCAATTAGTAGCCGCCGCTACGAGTAGCTCCGCGAGTACGGTACGAGGCTTTAATACGTTCCCCTCTATACCTAAGGCGGCTAATGCTATACGCAATGCTGCTAGTTAGTTTTACAAGCTAACAACTCGAATACTAAATGCTAGATCTCGGAGCCTCTCGCAACGTCTACTAATACCTGCTTTAGCTTTAGCTTTAGCTTTATTAGACCTTAAAGCATAGGCATACTATTACCGCTATTTGATCTATACTTAGTATATAGAAGTTAAGCTTACGAGTACAACTAAGACATAGTTCTATAGTAAACCTAACCTATATACTACTATTACGGATGCCTAGTCTAACTAAGAATTCCTCGAAGCCGAGATAACGTTTATAGACTAGATTGTCGACCGGATTGACGCCTACGAGCTACTAGATAGTAGTATCGATCGGACCTAGGACTATTATAACTACTTCCTCTATACAGACTTTAATAAAGCAACTAATTAACTAAAGAAGCTAGCAAGCAAGGCGCTTCGATTACTTAGATAGGCTTTAATAGTCTATAAACTAGTAACAAAGTTATTATTAGTCTACGAGATTAAGCTCTATATCTAGACTAAGTAGGAGAAGTAGTAATAACAAAAGCGGAAACATCGGTTAAGTACTATTACTACGAGTACTAGTGCGAGTAATATAGCGAGTTAGCAAAAGGTAGTTAATAGCATTGAGATTAAGAAAGAAAAGCTATAGACTAAGAAGGTTATCGATACGAATTAGCCGCCTAAGATAATTAACTTAAGCGGCGATACTACCGCGAGTATACCGCAAGGTACGCCTACTCCGAAAGGGTCGCGCGAATCGAAGGATTAGTAACCTACTAATAGATAGGCTGCTAATAGCGGTAGACAGGCTAATAGCGGTAGATAGGCTAATAGCGGTAGAAAGGCTAATAGCGGTAGACAGGCTAATAGCGGCGGAGAGGCTAATAGCGGCGGAGAGGCTAAGAAGACAAAGCGCAGTTAACGACTAAAGAAGAAGAGATAGAATAGCAGACTCGTAGTAGACTCGCTATAAACTCGCTCCTTAAATATTATCTACTAGTAGCTCGCGATCGCTATTTAGCTATAGCTCCTTCTATATCGTATATATATCCTTAGACTTAATAATGGCCTTATTCTTAAGCTATTTGAACTACGAGAGGCAATATCCTTCTAACTTATCGAACCTAGCTTCTAATACCTTAATCTTTGCCTCTAGTTTAGTATTCTTTGCCTCTACGGCCTCGACTCGCGCCTATATCGCGGCTAGCTCGCTATTTCTATCGTCTTCTTTAACCTCTTCTATACTAGCCGTATAGCTAGACTTGCCCTTGCACTTATAATAAGCGTAGATACGCTCGCCCTTAGTATTAAGTATACGATACTTAAAGTTATTAGAGCGTATATAGTAGTAGCATAGCGCTAGTATAAGCTTGCTAGAGTCCGTTTCTATAATAATTCTAGTAGCCTTATATTTCCGTAGTCTGTTTAATACCGCCTTCTTCTTATCCGGTATCGCTATCTAATCGAGTAGCTCTTGCTATATCTATACGCTATAGTACTAGAAATCGTAGGTATTTATAGTCGTAGGGCGTCGAAGTCTAGAGCGAGTTAGTAGCGAGTCTATAGCGATACGCCTCGCGACTTACGATAAATATTCTCCTCCTTCTACTAGTAAGTACGCTGCTAAAGCTAAAGCTAAAGCTAAAGCTAAAGCTAAAGCTAATGCTGAAGCTAATGCTACTAAAGCTACGCTAAGAATAAGGTCGCGCGGAATACTAGTTATAGCGGCTGCTACTATCGCTGTCGCTATCGGTATCGGTATCGGTATCGATAGAAGAAGAACATTACGAGGCAAGGCGCGGAAGTGTAGCGAGTCTGAGTAAGGTTTGTCGCGACAATAGGCATAGTAAGGTTAGTGAGGAAGGTACAGGAAGAATAGGAAGCGACAATAGGCTCAAGTGAAGCTATTGAGCCTCTGGTATGTATGGAGCTCCGTCTCAGGGTCCGTTTCGCTCAGTCGCGTCTTCACTTTGGACAGGAGAGAATACGGTAGCATCAAATGACACCTGTCTGCAACATCACCCTCTCCTTACCTCTACGCTGAGCAAAGATGGCCGCCAACACTTTGGTACGCGCAAATGACTTCGCTTGGAATTGCTAATTGGCACGTATAGCAGGATGCTGACTTCTTCACAGCTCGATCGCCTAGTCGGACTCGCAATGCTCATTCTCGCTTCAACCGTTTTCCTTTACTACACCATCTGGACACTTTTGATGGTAATATGCGCACGAAGAACACTCGCAAATATCACGTGCCATGCTGAGACTATGTTTGCTACAGCCATTCGTCGACGACTCGCATCCCGTTCAAGCGCTCTTTCCCCCACGAGTCTGGGCCATTCGCATCCCGGTGATTCTTCTACTTGTAGGTGGCGCAGTAGTCGGAAGTTTCCTCAGCGTAGTCATGATCAGGAGCAACAGGAAGAAGGCACTCAAGGCGAAGCAGAAGGCAGCAGCAGCCAAGAGCAAATAGAGTCCCAGTTTCATGACGAAGAAAGGAGTTGGAATTTGGAATGACACATGCTCTGCTGCGACCAGAGGGACATACAGTCTGTATACAGATGTTACCGATGATAGCAGAACATGTTCACTGCGTCGCGCAGTTCTCACCCAGTACCAGGCCCTGAGCTCCGTCCATTGCAGCATTCTCGCCCCTCTCCGCGCGATGCTGTCGAATCATTTCTGCCAGGTGTGCAAGTGTTGCGCGCTGTGAGCTTCTGGTCAGCGCCTTCATCTTCGCAGGGCTTTTGCTAGGATAGTCGATCTGTCTCAACGCTCGTCTACAGCCGACGAGCGCTGCTCATTCGAACGTCGGGACGATGCCAACATTTCCCAGCTGTCCGAACAACAACTGGAGGAGCTGTGCGTGAGGAAGCTGCAGAACTGTGAGACTCGACTCGGAATGATACCCGACCTAATTATCGTGGCACCGAAAAATGGGAAATGTTAGAACTTACTGTAATGACCGCTTCTTGATTCCCTCCCTCACGCTCCATGTTGTTGCTTTGCATGATCCGATACGCATCGTGCATCCGCTTCCGACTATTAAGCCCATTCGGAGCCACGTAATCGTCATCGTCGTCAATCTCGCGCTGACGCTCGGCAGGAAGAGCAGGCTCTGAAGTTGTCTCGCCGTTGCTCGCTCGATGCCGCTGTGTTCGGTGTCCAATACGCATCGGCCACGCAATTGAACTGAAAGACGAGGCGTCATGCGCTGAAATGCCTTGGCCAAGACGTGCGACCTGGCGTGCCCGAGCATCTGGGGAGAAAATCTTGATGGTATGGTCGATGCCACTGACTGCAAGCATAGTCTCGTATGGGTGGCCCTGAATCACGTTGACGACTTCACCATCGCCTTCTAGGACATTGACAAGCTCCGAAGTCTTGCGGTCCCAGATGAAGAAGTTGCCATCGTCACTTCCGGAGACCACGAAGTCGTCATCGGGGCCCCAATAGTTGACATCTTTAACAGTTCGCACGTTGCAATGGCCACGATACCTGCGTATAGGCTTTGAGCAGGGGACATCTGGTTCCACACTTGGTCGCAGTCGTCTCCTTTCAAATGCCGTTCGGTAGATGTAGCGCGGTGCACCCAAGTTGGGCACGCCGTCTTCCTCGTCTGGTTCTGAGCTTGATTCAGGGTCAATCTCTTCGCTTTCGTCGTCATCATCGTCGTCATAATCATCATCTTCTTCTTCATCATCGTCTTCTTCTTCTGCATCTTCATCCTCGCCCTCCTCAGCAGCTTCGTCCCAATCTTCGAGGACGACGTCGACCTCTTCCCCATCATCTTCGTCCAGCTCGAAAGTCGCACGGGGAGTACTTCGCTCTCGCCGCGCCTCTTGCGCAGCTGCTGTGATGTCTTCGGCGTTGGCACCATCGACCACCTGGCCATTTGGTGCGACGGTTTCGATCGCTCGCACCGCTGGTTCCTCTTCTCCTTCGTCATCGCTGGCGGTGTCGCGAAGAAGTTCCAGCCGTGCCTCTTCAGTAGTTACCTCGCGAACGACACGTCCGAGCCCACCAAACGCGCGGTCTACGTAAATGAAGTTGACACCCTCGCCCGCGTTCAGAAGTACGCCTCGCGCTACCCTCTGTGCCCAATACTTATGTGCTGTTTTGCGATCTTGTGCTTGGATTCGCCCTTCGCCATCATTGTCCGCTAGCACCGTTGCTGAAGACAGATCCGCAAATGGTATGCGAACGGCGGCGGCAAAAGCCAAGACAGCTTGCTTCTCGGTTTGGAATAGAGTTCTGTTCTCGCTCCTTTCAAACCGATTGGCCTCCACATCAACAATGCGCTGATCAGATGCCAGCTGGAGGAGATATGGTATGATGTCTTCATCAAGTGCCTCTGGCGTCGCATCCGCTTCCGACACAGGTAGACGCGAGGCCGCTTTGCTTGATGATGGCATATCGCTGGGTCGTGTAAAGCCCTCGATCAATTGGCCAACACCAGAATCCAACCAAAGAAGTATTGCCTTGAGAAAATCATAGCAGAAGTGTTCCCGAGTCGGGAACTCCAAATCATTACGCCTCACCTCAATTTTTGTAAATTGTGCGATCATCGGATTTACTCCAGAGACTGAACGCAGCTTGCCACCAAGAACACGAGCAAGCGTGCCTGATGCCTGCACAAAACGTCGACTGCTTTCCCGTCTGCGTCGCAGGGTCTGTTGCAGGTACACTTGCTCAGGCTCCGGCTCCATAGGGTATCGCCAGTTTGTCATGATCTCGTCCATGTCGAGCAGCGTCGCACCACATATTCCAAGGGCTTCAGAAAATGGTGCAACGGAGCCTGCTTCCGGTGAGCTGAAAAGTTTCGATCGAATGTTGACTGTCTGTTTTGCGATCTTCTGAGCGGACCTCTGGAGCTCGGTCAGAGGGGTGTACTGGTTGATATGATTCGGTAGCGGTATCTCTTCGCTCTGGCCATTCTGATATCTTATTCGCAGGGCAGAATCTGTAGGGTCTGCAGAGGCATTCTCTGTACGCGGACGCGTGGACGCGGTGGCTTCTTTAGCCAGTGACGCATCACTACCTTCGACCTTACGCTTTCGCTTGCGATCTCTGCCTTCCTTCGACTTTCGCTCACGTAGTGGACTGATGCCTTCAAGATCAGGAACTTCGGAGTCGCGGACGAGGTCGAATGAATATATGTGATCTCCACTCCAGCTTACAATCATTTCATCAGGACGTGCATCGCTGATCTTGATTGCAGTGATGTGGCCATTATCCGCGCGCTTCATTCGCTTCTGACCTTGAGGTGCGAACTTTCGAACACATTGAGTAGCCTGAATTCTCAGTGTCAGCATGTTGCCCTTTTTGTGCGTAGTAACGATATAGATTTTCAGGGGCGTCAACTCGTGCGCGAAAGGCCTTCTCCCGCTAAGTCGAAGAGCACGCTTCGCGATTCACATACCTGTGCCATCAACTCCTGTTCTCCTGCTGACATCTGATCTATGGGTGACAATGGCCTTCCCATCTCTTGAAGCTTGTCTCGGCCCGTCATGCGACGATCGTGTAATAGAGCATGCAGATGAGCGCCTCCCAATGCTATGTAATGCGGCTGGCTGGCGGAGCACGAGATGGTGTTCAGATCAAGGCTATATCGTTTGTATGAGATAAGTGGAGGTGGTACTGGGTTCTCTGGCCCAAATCGTGAGTTCCGAGGCGGAGGATATGCAGAGCTTGGCTGGCGGGTATCGAACTGCCTCACCTCACCGTCCTCGCTGCAAGTCAAGAACAGATACGGACTTGACTCTGTGACGATCCTCTTTACTCGATCTCCATGCGACCTGTAGACTCTGGCGTTTGTGTCTCCATCGCTCAGATACCTCACGCCATTGTAGATAGTGTTTCGTCCTCTTCTTCGTCCCTCAGTTGCCAACGCCGATGCTCTTGATGCCGTGCCCGCTGCTCCTGCATACTCAATATCGAAGACGCGCACTTCACCATCGCCGGCGGCTGTGACCAGTGTTCGGTCTTGCGAATGCGGCATGAACTTCACGCTGAAGATATTCTGTGTGTGGCCAGTGGCCACGGTCGTGCTGAGCCTGAACTGCGCACTGCCATCCTCAGGCTGGTACGTGTGTATATTCAGATGCTGATCATCACTGCCAGATGCAAGCAGGTTGCCACTCTTTGACCACGCGAGCGCGTTCACGCATCCTGAGTGTCCGTCGAGCTCATTCACGATATCGAGATGGCTCACCAGGCGGCGGTCACTGTATAGCTTCCGATAGCTTTTCGATCGTGCGCCCGGATCGTAGATCTCCCTGAGATGCAAATTGATGGCGAAGGAGTCCTTCATGCTGTCCACTGGTGTTGGCAGAGGAGCAGCAGGTGACAAGGCTGTCGATTCGAGATCAATTCAAGTTGAAGCTACCTCCTACACTCTCATGTCTCTCGGTCGGTGACTTAGTCTGGCGCTTGCGGATAGCTCAGCATCGAACGTAGCTGCAGCGGTGGCATAGCAATCTAGTGAGCTGTTACGATGCTGTACATGCGTGTCGATGGTGTCCAAGCTTGTCACCTCTGACTAGTGTTTATATAGCTCGAAGAGCTATACGAGAAGCCTAAGGCGACGAGTGGCTAAAGTCCTATCTAGGACGCCTATAGTAGGCCTAATCTAAAACGCGTATAGTAAGTTATATCTAAAACGCTAATAGCAATATTAATCTATAGTAAGTAGTTCTTTCCGAGTTAGAACGCTTATAGTAAGTACTATTTATAAGGCGTATAGTAAGTCTAATCTAAAACGCATATAGCAATTTTAATCTAAAACTCTTATAGGAATTCTTACTTAGAACGCTTATAATACTAAGTACTATTTAGAACGCGTATAGGAAGTCTAATCTAGAGCGCTAATAGTTAGTACTACTATCTATAATACCTATACTAAGTTTTATTTAGAGCGCGCTATATAGTAATTCTAATCCAAAACGCCTACACCAAGTCTTATCTAGAACGCGTATAGTAAGTACTATCCGCGGTAGAACGCGTATAGTAAGTCTACTAGTAATTCGGAACGCTAATAGTAAGTACTATTAAGAACGCTTATAGCAAGTAGTACTATCTAAAATACCTATAGTATAAGAAGGGTTATGTTAGTAGGCAGATAGGGTAGTAGTAAATTAGTATAGTATTCGATAGAGATCTAAAAGAAGAGGGAGGAAGGTAGACTAGTTAGCCTAACGCTAAGCGCTAAGCCCTACCTAAGGCATTAGGACCCTAGCATTACTTAGTCTAGTTATATACTAATTACGTATAACCTCTAATATACGCTTCTCTTCTAAAGGCCGCGCCCTCGTAGCCTATCTATATTCTAACCTAATCTCCGTTACCGCTAACTTAGTAGATTAACTAAGCTATTTAGCCGCGCTAAATTAAACGCTTAACTACCTAATTATGTAACTATATCAAACCTCACCTCCGACAATATCTAACTTCTAACTACGCTATTACTGCTACTATAGTAATAATAAGGGGTTATATAGCTATATAAATTAAAGGCTAGTAACTAATTATAATACGAGCGTACCTTCCCTGCTATAATAGGTAGATATACGGGGTATTGTAGTACTGCCCCTATTCTAAGTAAGGTTATCTAAGTTCTTTACGTCTACTCTAAAAGGCCTAGAAATGTCCGCTCCGAGGGATTGTTCTTATTATTACGAGGGCTATTATTTACTATTATAGTTTCGCTAGCCCTAATTAGTTAGGTTTAGTAGCATTTAATTGTTAATCTTATCTTATTTTTTTAAAAAACACAGTTCGTCTAGTTTCTATAAATAAAGGCTATTATAAGTATAATAGTTAAGGTTTGCCTCGCTTAAAGGGTCGGAAAGATCGAGGAGTAACCTATTATTCGCAAGATCGACCCCGGCTAGCTTAGCTCTATAGTTTTGCCCTTAGTTAGTCTATTAGTCGCTTAATCTTTTAAGCGGCTTAAAGTTTTAATTAAACCCTTAGTAGGTTCAATCTTTTAACTTAGTTAGTATAGTGCTTTAGGCTCGTAGTATAGGTAAGGTTATATCTGCGACGTAGTAATAATAGTAAGTAATATTAATAATAGCGGCGAGTAGGTAATATTAATAATAGCGGCGCGAGCCGTCTTAGCGCTAACTTTACCTTATCCTTTATTTCCTTCTCTAACTAGCAACGCTTTAACTAGCAATATACTCCGTAATACTATTACTAATATAGCCGCGCGCGCCGTCTTCTAATATACTATTAGCTCGTACTGCGACGCTATTATTACTATTACTATTCGCGCGCGTACGCCGCCCTCGTTAATCGCCTAGGCCTCGAGGCCTTATAGAATAAATAAATAAGAGGTAGAGTCCTTAAAAGAGCAGTAACTAATCGACGCGTCGTAGCGCGCTAGGTATAGTCTTATTGTCCTAGTTTGCTAGTCTCTAATTAGTTAGCGAATGTTACCCTAGGGGTAGTATTAATTCTAGGTCTCTCTTAGTAATATTATAAGCTTTTAGCCTTCTTCTTGTCCTTTACGCTAGTCTAATACTTATCTAACAACTCGGCTATATCCTCGAAGGAGTCTTTAGCCTCCTACGAGTCCTATTTAGGTAAATAGCCTTACTATCTTAAGAGGTATTCCTTCTTGCCTTACCTAGTTCGATGCTTTAGGATACGTTCTATAGACTATAGCTCTTTACCGTCTACTAGTACCTCTTTATATTTAGTAGGGGCTTCTTTATTAGTATTAGAGGCTATACGTAATTAGTATATAACTAGCTAGAGTAAAGCTAGGGTCCTAATGCCTTAGGTAGGGCTTAGCGCTTAGCGTTAGGCTAACTAGCCTACCTTCCTCCCTCTCCTCTTAGATCTCTATCGAATACTATACTAATTTACTACTACCCTATCTACCTGCTAATATAACCCTTTCTATATAGTATTCGATCTACCCTTCGAGGGCAGTAGCTAGATAGTCCTTATTTTAAGCTTTTAGCGGTATAGCTACGAAAACCGTTAATCTAACTATATTACGCCCGAAGAACGGGACCTATACGTACTATTCTATTAAAAACAACCGTACTAATTATTAAGCAAGGCCTTCTATACGGCCTATTATACTAAGTTAACCGCACTAAGCCGGTACCTACTAATTCCGCTATATCCGTACTATAGGGGCCTATAATATATTATTAGTATTACCCCTTATTATAATAGCCGGCTTATTACGAAGCAATAACAACAACCGTAGAGCTACTAGCAGCGCTAGCAACGATAACACTAGTACCGAAGTGCCTACTAAAGAGCCTACTAGAGGGCCTACTAAAGAACCTATAGTTCTAGGTAATAATCTAGAATTGCCTATTAACGACATTCTTAACAATATTATTAATCGACGATATAGCTAACTAGCCTTTAGGCCCTAGCCGATAGCGAGACTTTAAGAAGCTACTTAGAATAGGCTTACTACCTTACGTTAAGAACAATAGCTAAAGGATAACCTCCTCGAGATTTATCGCCTATAGGAAGCCCTAGCAACTAATACTAAACTAATAGTAGGGCCTTCCTCCCTATCTATTTTAGTCTAAAAAAAGGATGCTAAACTTAAGGACTATACTATATTTAATAGCTCTAGTCGAAAACAATATAACGACTATATCCGTAACTGCGAGCTTAATATAAGAAGGGTATATTAGCAGGTAGATAGGGTAGTAGTAGGTACAGGTAGTATTCGATAGAGATCTAAGAGGAGAGGAAGGAAGGTAGGCTAGTTAGCCTAACGCTAAGCGCCAAGCCCTGCCTAAGGCATCGAGACCCTAGCTTTACTCGAGCCTAGTTATATACCAATTACGCGTAACCTCTTTAGTCCTAACACACGCTTCCCTTCTAAAGGCCGCGCCCTCGTAGCCGGTCTATATTCTATTCTTAACCTCTGCCGCTACTAACTTAGCAGGTCTAGTAAGCTTCTTAGTCCGCGCTAAATTAAACACGCAATTACCGATTATATAACTATATCAAACCTTACCTCTAATACAATACAATGTCTAACTCTAACCGCGCTATCCTTATATATAATAAAGTAATATATAACTATAAGAATTAGAGACTATCGACTAATTATAATATAAGCGCGTCTTCCCTGCTATAATAGGTAGACGTACGAGGTATTATAGCCCTGCCTCCGTTCTAAGTAATGTCGTACCGAGTTCTTTGCGTCTACTCCTAAAAGACCTAGTAATATCCGCTTCCGAGGGTTTGTCCGCTTCCGAGGGTTACTGTTCTTATTGTTACGAGGGCTATTATTTACTGTCGTAGTTTCACTAGCCCTAATTAGTTAGGTTTGGCAGCCTTTAAGTATCAACTAATTATATCTTTTTAAAAAACTTAGTTCTTCTAGTTTCTATAGGTAAAGGCTATTATAAGTGCAGTAGTAGAGGTTCGCCTCGCTTAAAGGGTTAGATAGATCGAGGAGTAACCTATTGTCCGTAAGATCGACCCCGGCTAGCTTAGCTCTATAGTTTTGCCCTTAGTTAGTCTATTAGTCGCTTAATCTTTTAACTTAGTTAAAGTTTTAACTTGGCCTTAAAGTTTTAATTAAACCTTTAATAGGCTTAAAGCTTTGATTAAAGTTTTAATTAAAGGTGCCTTAGGCTCGTAGTATAGGTAAGGTTATGTCTATAGGCGCAGCGATAATAGTAAGTAATGTTAACAATAGCGGCGCTAGTCGTCTTAGTGCTAACTTTACCTTCTTCTAATTTCCTTCTTTAACTAATAACAACTCGGTAACACCGTTACTAATATAGCTATGTCCTTCCTTTCTTAAACAGCAATACACTCCGCAACACTGTTACTAATATAGCTACGCCGGCCGTCGGCATACTGCTAGCTCGTAGCGCGACACTATTATCCTCGATAGGATAAAGGAATAAGAGGGGGACCTAATACTAGAAGAAGGCCCTATAGGGCGCATTAGTAAAGAGATAGAGCCCTTAAAAGAGTATACGATTAGTTAACGCGTTATAGCGCGCTTGTTAATACTCGGTACGCGTTTACTATAGTAGTGTAGTCTTATTGTCCTTCGTTGCTAACAATTGCTTACTTCTAATTAGTTAGCTAATAGCACCCCGGGGGTAGTATTATTCTTAGGCGACATTATAGCCCTTAGCCTTCTTCTTGTTCTTTATACTAGTCTAATACTTATCTAACAACTTAGTTATGTCTTTAAAAGAGTCTTTAGCTTCCTACGAGTCCTATTTAGGTAAATAGCCTTGCTATCTT